TCTCACTGCTCCAGATGTTTCCTCAGGGTTAGGGTTAGGGGTTCTCACTACTCCAGATGTTTCCTCAGAGAGTGGTGAGGGTGGATTTTTTCCTCACCAGTCCCATGATTTTGCAGGACCAGCTGGTTTCCAGTGTGAGACAGTAAACAAGRGTTCAATRGATGGTGAGGAATGTTCAGATCCTRAACAGAACAACCCTGGCAAATCCCTACAGATCCAGAAAAAACTGCCATCGTGCAAAAAGATGCAACAAGTCTTGTGGCTGAAGCAGTGATCCCTATTGGCTCTGTCCTTTGCATACGTGCAGCACTTCCACTTATAAAAATGATGAACTCACACAGAAATTCCAAATGTATAAAGAGCAGGAGCCCTTGCTCACTTAAAAGCCACTTACAACTCGATGTCCACAGCAGGCAGTGCCAGCAAAAATGAAAACAAAGCATGGTATGGAGAGTTTGCTGATAACATCTCAGAGAATGAGACATACAGGTGGCAAAGTAATTATTCTCTGAATGGGAATGCARTCAATGTGGATGCAATTATGAATGGCAGACAGCATCCTCCAAAATGGTGAGACAATAATTYCAGGGATGTTATCACCTAGATTTATTTACTCACATGTACCCCATAAGATTTCAGATGTTAAGAGTTCATATTTTCTTTTACTAGATGCAAAGTAGAAGCAAGAAGAATTTCTCAAAATAATTGTTATTGTTTTGAAAGCAGCACTGGGTTAATATTTACTATTTCAGAATGACAAAAAAAAAATCACAAAAAATAGTAAAACATAAAAGCTGATGTATTAAAACATTTCACATTTTTACTAAAGTGGAAAGCTGCAGGATGAAGAAATAAAAGGGTAGACAGAGTGTTAGGATTCCCAAMGTTATTATGAAGAGCTGTACACAACACACACATAGCAACAAATGTTTTGTGCCTGTTGAGAGCAGCAGATAAGTCACTGAATTTACAGACATGTGCTGCTGATTTCTTGGCAGCCTAATCAGAAGTTTCTACTCATTATCACTAGAATCACCTTGGATCTTCAACAAATCTGAAAAATGAACAGCCAGTTCAAGAAGTAGCAGAAGATCCTGGGGCAAGCACTGTAATTTTGCTCTGGTTTCATATTCTTTCCCAGATATTTGTGTCTCACAGCAGACAACCAGGCAGATGCTGTGGCTGGGTTTGTGTGAATGCTCCAGGTCAGCTGCACCTTTTGCTTGGTGTAAATAAATGACAGGAGCTGGTGGCAGTGCCAGACACTGATGGTGGCAGAGCCTGAGAGCAGCAGCAGCTCCTGGCACCTCCCAGGCACTGCACTGAGAGTTTCTTCTCCAACTCCTCATTGAGAGACAACACATAAAAATAAAAGCTTGTTGCCAACACAGCTCCAAGGCACTGCTCCTGCTCTGCTGAGGCTGAGCTACATGAAAAATACCTGGAGCAGAGCATTCATGGGGTTTGCTTTATTAATTGAACAAAACTGTACAAGTACTCMATGTGAGGGAAAATACAATTAACAAAAAGACATTGGATGAGAAGTGTTAAACCGTGTACAATCACGTCTCAGATTTGTCTCCTCTTAGCCAGGCAATCAAAGTCAAAGAAAACAAAACAATTTCCCAGAGGCAAGTACAGACTCTCCAGCAAGGAAATGAAAACAATAAGAAGTGACAATTCTGTTTGTGAGRGATGTTCTGCCCAGAAAGGATTAAATGCACTTTCCTCATTTGGAGAAAAGTGGGTACACCAAAAACGTTTYTTAGCAAAATCTGCTTAGTTCAGCACGATATTTTCCTATGGAAATTCTTGACAAGAAGTTACTTTGGCAAGGCAGGTGCTTTTCCAGGAAGTTTAGCAGGGACCAGCTGCCAATTTCCCAGTGCTTTGCCTTGAACAGAAGGAGGTTTTGTTCCCTGCACKAAGCTAAAATATAAAACAAACATGAAGCACTAGCTAAGAGCCACACAGCCACCAAACGTGTGGTTTGCATCACTGACATTAAGAGATTAGCTACATTTCAGCTGGCTTTTTTGGGTTTTTTTGTTTGTTTTTGGTTTGTTTTTTGGTTTTTTTTTTTGTTTTTTTTTTGTTTTTTTTTTTTTGCTTTGCAGATAAGGCAAAATAACTCAAACCAAAATAAACAAAATCAGCCAAAAACAACAACACAACAGTATGCAGAAACGTCTCCATTTCCTTCCACAGATGCATTTCAAAGATTTTTTAAATAAAAAACTGAACTTTCTACATTCTTAGCAAGCATATTTGGTTATATTATATTTGTGGCTGAAAAAGGTTCACTTTCAGTAAGAAAAYACAAATAGAACTTATGAAGTATTATTAAATATTTCTAACAATTGACTCTGAATAATGCAGCCTGACACAATGGACATCAAAATACAAATTAATGATTTCATTACCATGAAGGACTTTGGCATGGTAGCAGTTTAAACATTGAATTTCAAATATTTTCGACTTTTTAGTGAATCCAGTTTTGATCAAAAGCTATGATACATCACACCTTGACAACAGCACTGCTTCCTTATGCAGATTAGTTCCTCTTCTTAAACTCTCTTAACAGGAGTGAGGCTTTACAAACAACACAAATGGACATCACTTTTTCTGAGAACTTTGTTATAATGATCCACCAAAAGGAACTAATCCATTCCAAAAACACACAAAGAAGCAAATTATCCATGACAAAGAAGTGTTTTGGCTCTAAACAGGTGGGATTAGAAGGATTATAGAAAAGGTTTCTGCTTAATATGAGTCATTTTAAAAGAATGAACTCGTCAGCCATTGAAGTAGTTTCCATTCAAGCTGTAAAATATAAAAGGTGCACCATTCTAGAAACAGAAAATATATTGATTTACCACTGGAAAAGCTTTCTTAGAGTTTGAGAAGTGCYGAACCTCTATGCAAGTGTTGAATAACTAAAAATGTGCATCACACCATACATGTTCATCCTCTCTCTTCTCTCTCYTTTCTCTCAAGGTTTKCTGTTCTCGGTTTCCAAATCTCTGCAAGAGCTGGAAGATGAAGAYACWTTGCTATCTACATTAAATCTGGGAAAAACCCTCCGAAATGGAGATCAAACTRTGAACAGGGGAGCTCTACCTTTGCTGAAGCAAATCAAGACTGAGGACAGCAGGGTTTTCAATGAAAAGAATGCTGGAAACATGGAGTTTTTGGTGAGTTCAGTTTTACATTTTGGCTTAATTATCAAATTGTAATCCRTTTATACCCCTTTAGAAAATAACAACAATTTAAAGTGACAACAAGGTAAATATGCAAAAATATCAGTTTAACATAACTTAGTCAAGAAAAAAGTTTTCAAGTCTCTATATCTAGTGCCAAGATTCTGAATGTATAATTTGTACAGTTGAATTAAATATGATTTTTTCAGATAGTAGCCAAAACTTGGGGATCTATATTTATATCTATATTTATATTTGATGCATGTGCAGCAACAGATTTTTAACTTTGCCAAACATGAGAGTCATTATTTAATCATAATTTCCTTATGTCCATTAAACCATTTTGGCCAAAGATGTAATGCAGGTCATTACTTTTAAGATACCATCTTGAAACATAAAATAACTGTACTGTTGAAGTACAAAGTACAAAATGTACTACTGAGTTTAAATAAAAATGAACCTCTTGTTTTGCCTCAAACAGGACAGAGGTTCCAGAGATGATTTCTTCAATCATGTTATGCCAAACAGCTCAGGCAGAAAGCAGCCACCCCATCCTGCACTGAAGGGAGCCCTGGCTTTTCCAGCTGACACTGAAATCCAAAACATTGAGTCAATACAGCAAAGAGAGATCACAGACGAAGAAAATTCAGCTAAATTCCCTATAGGAAGAAGAGATTTTGACAGTAAATGTATTTTATTTTTACACAAAAAAAGTATTTCATTCTGGTAAAGTACAGTGCAATGTCAATACAGCAATTTCATAAAGATTCATTTAGAAGCTTCATGTCTGTTATGATTTGGCTCATGRGGGAGGGAGCATTTGTTAAATTAATCTTTCCAGAGGCCATAAGAATTCTAGTTCTTTGAAGATTCACACTTTCCAATTGTTTTTTCTGCTCTAGTCCTCAGGTGYATGCTGGGAAGAGTCTACCGACCGTGCTGGCAAATGTGAAAACCACTCATCTCCACAACCTTCTTGGAAGATTAAACATTTTATTCTGAATTTAATGGAATTTGAAGTTACTGAGTGTTATTGTGGCAGTACATACACATCCAAAARTGATTTCCCATCAAATTATAGAGAGATACATCATTCATTATCAAAATTAACAGTGTAATTATTAACAATGTATTGTTATTAAAAAATAAAAGACTTCAGCATAATCCAGACTTGTAAGTAGTTGTCTAATGTAATACACAAGCTRCTTTCAGTTATTTAAGCATGGAAGGAAGTAATTCATGAATTTCACCTATTTTCTTACAAAATTTTACAGCTGTCAACATACCATCCATGTGAAAACAAAACCTTACAGCTGAAAAAAGCGAGTTAACTTTGCCTGACCAGCAATCAATTTATTCTTGCTTGCAGTTTTGCTCTGTTTTCTTTTTCCACCAATTTTGCTGTCCAATTCCTTTCCAGATCTGTTTGAAGTCTTAAGTCTTTTAGTATTTTTTTGCAAAGATGGTTCACTTTCCTTGTCACGGATTATTTTGTCATTATTCAGATCCATCTGTTCATTCTCCGAGTTCTTGTTCCTTGGCTGACAACTCAGCTTTCCCATTTCTGCACAACTTCTAGTCTGGTGAACACTTTCAGAAATAGTTCCAGGCACTGGTACATCAGGACATGAATTTGTACCTTCTGTCATGGAAGAATATCAGAAACATATGTGAAGAAATAAAAAGTTACCTGGGAATATACATCCTTTTCCTATCAGGACTGCCCTTATTTTTCTTTTTAAATCAAAACTGGTGCATTACCAATAAAACAAAGCAATGCTGGTCACTGCAGTTACATTTGCTGTGTGTTCATGAGTGCATTGCCAATTCAAAAGCCTGTGATAACTAACTTAGGGAAGTGGATTTATAACTTCCAGATATTGGAAGGGGGGGGTTAAAGGGCACAGAAATTTTATATAAGATGCACTTTGTCATGCAGTATAACAAATTATCCCCTCCCTTTAATAGCAAAAATACCAATTTCACCTGGCTTACTTTTGTGGAACAAGAACAAACATGTAATATATGTAACATATATCATTTGTTTAATTCAAGATAGCCTCAACACATTTTTCAAACAYTTGTATTTTCAAAGCATTGACATTGCAATTTTATTGCAAAAATATTTAACTGGCATGTGAGACATTGAGAACAAAGAGACATTTTTGTTCTTTTTTCTTGAAAACATTTCTGCCTTTTTGGATAGCATTTAAAACATTAGGTATCACATTTATTGAATCAATCCTAGCACAGCTTACCTGTGCATTTTGCAGCTTTTAAATGTTGCTTTTGTCCAGGCTGTTTGCAGGTTGGAATTGCACGAGAAGGCTGACCATTCATTTCACTCCAATCATTTTTATATGTACAGGCAAACTGGGATTTAATTGAAGATTGCTTCATCTGCAAATACCAATCTGCTATTAGCTTTTATTATTTACARAAGTGAAAGGCAACGCCTGCAAGACCAATAAAGTAATATTCTTCACACATATAATACAAGTAAAATGGATATGCTCACAAGAAAAAAAAAAAGAAAATTAAGAATTCATTTACAAAGTGTAAGGGCTTTCAAGAATAGTCATTTATTATTCTATTAAAAGTCCCAAAATAACTTAAAAATTTTTTCAGCTCTTTCAGAAAGATCAGAAAATTAAAGTTTTCTGTCTTCAGAGGACAGAAAGTCTGTCTTGTGACAGACTCCTGTTTTGAGTAGGTATCATAGTTACTACAGTCAATTTTTATACTTCTACAGGTTGTCATCTATACTTACACCTGAAAGGGGAATGTAATATTTCAGAATTCCCATTTATCCACAAAACAAAGCCATTYCACCACTGAATGCCAATATCTAACTCCATATATGTCAAAACACACTCTTTTAGCTTAAATCACAGGTCAAACTTCCTCATCTCACTCTTAAATCACAGCTTCACATCAGCTGAAAATTCCAAGTCAAGCTTTGTACTCATTGTACAATTGACCATAAATGCTGCAAGTTCTGCAAGACAAATTCTGCCCTCACTCCCATTTGAAAGTGCACTGGATTATACAAATTATATTGTAAAATATAGCACAGAGCAGATAATTGCAATCCATTTGGATTTTTAGCTAATGATTCTATCATGGCAGCATGGGCAATTTTGAATCAATTGGAGCTGAACAGGTGCTGTAGTAAAAACTATCAGAGAATAGAGTAAGAATAAACACTGTTACAAAACAAATATTGCTATATAAATAATTAGCAGGAGTGATTTGTTGAATAAGAGGTTTACAGCCACCTTTCTGATTAAAAAGTTTGCATTATGCAAGTCTGTTTTTCTTCTTCGCACAAGCATAATTAAACCTCACAGTTCAGATTTGACCCTTAGATACAAAATTTTCTTCTAACTAAAATTCTCAGTTTTAGACAGAAGGAATGAAAATAATGTTCCCAGCAATCTCCTTTAACAGAGGATTTCATCACAAAATTCAGTCACAATTTATGCCTGCTTTCATCCATGTAAGATGACAGACTGGAATTTATCACTGAGATGTAACCCAGCTTTCTCTTCATGCACTGCCATCAAACAGGTGAATGTACTGGGTCTATTTGGAAAAAAATCCCATTCATTTACAGAAACATAGTTGCTCTTTCTGGTTTTATATGACTATACATACATTATTTTAATTTAAACCTCAATATTCTCTTCAAGAGTTAAAAAGACCAAATTTTCCCTCTTGTCCATCACTCTCAAACTGTAATTTATGTGGGCCAGACAACAGACTGGGAAAGAAATGCAGATTTAACAGGGCAAACTTGTTAAAGTCTGACTCTCAGTAACTCCAAATTCTTTTAAGTGTTAATCTCCTTTGTACACAAAACATTTACCCCAAAATGAGAGTATATGCACAGACATTTACAAGGTTTGTATGCTTCAGGACTCTGAGCAGAATCCCAGAATGTGCTGAGTTGGAAGGGACCCACCAGGACGATGGAGTCCAATCCCTGGCCCTGCACAGGAACCCCAAAACCACCCCACGTGCCAGAGAGCATTGTCCAAACCCTTCTTGAGCTCTGCCAGGCTGTGACCACTGTCCTAGGGAGCTGTTCCAGTCTCCAGGCAGAGAGAGAGCTCAGGGAAATATCTTTTTCTTAATATCCAACCTAAGCTCCCTCAAGAAGCTTCTTGCTCTTCCCTTGTGTCCCCAGCTGGTGACCCTGAGATGGGATCAGTGGGCACCTCCTCCTCACCTCGTGAGGAAGCTCTAGACTGCACATCATTAACTTCATACTTGTTTCAGAAAGTGTTTTAAAGGATAGAGCAGCTGTCCAGTTTAAATTCAATCAACATCATATTGGACAATTACAATATTCAGAAGATAAGGGGCTTNTTTCAGAAAGTGTTTTAAAGGATAGAGCAGCTGTCCAGTTTAAATTCAATCAACATCATATTGGACAATTACAATATTCAGAAGATAAGGGGCTTACATTTCCTTTAAGCTTCAGGTTACTGTAACATGAAGAGAAARTATTTTCCAGTATTTGATATATTTCTGAAAAACTTCATTTTAATCCTTTACAAATTCCTCTATTCTKGTTCAGTAAATGGCACACATCAAAMATTACACAACMATAACTTCAGCAGTTTTCTATCACATTCATATTGCAAGAGGCACATAAGCTACAGTTTTGCTAAGTTGATTAATCTATAATAAATACAGCACAAAGAACACAAARTTTGAGCAAGAAAGCCTGACAGTTACCATTCTATAACCAACAATAAACGTGATTGTTTTTTTATGAACAACACTGCTGCTTTTTACCACTCCCATCTGACACTTCCCTAATTCCGTTTGCAGGGACAGAACATGKGGAGTTAAAGGCCAAAGTCAAGCTCAAATCCTGAGAAACTCCCAGCATAAACCCAGCTGTGTTTCAACTTTGCTGAAGCTTGAAATGTGCTTGTATTGCAYCAGATACCATCCAGGCATTTACAAACAGCACACAAAGCTCTACCAAATCAATCCAGAACTCATCCAGAATTATACAGAGTGGAAGACAATCTGCCAAAGCAGTCAAATTTTTCAGCTAATCTAGGAATGTATGTTCACTGGTACAAAGGACTCCATTGCATTGGATGAGGCAGCAATGAGCAAATTGTAACAGCCTGAAGGCAACACAAAGTTGAATTAGGAAGTGGAGAATCACTGGAATGTTTTTAAGAAGAAAGAGCAACCTAAAATTTACTTGGAGCACACAATGAAGCCTGTCAACAGCTTGAAAAAGCTCTTAGAAAAAAAGCAGTTAGRGTTCTTTTACATTAAATTCCCTAAAATTCACTCCTTTAAGAGCACCACTGCAAGACCCACGGCTCTGGGAGAGAATAAAGATTGGGAGAGCATTTTGCTAATTGAGAATTTGCACACAAATGGGTGCAATGAGCTCAGACTTATCCCCTCCACCCTTCACAAGCAACTGGGATCTTGTTCTTATCCCCACACAAAGAAAGAAATTCTGCTGCATTTCAGAACAAAAAAAGGTCACCACTCTTCAGCTGGAAGAAAGCAGGATAGAATTGACAAGTGTTTCAGCACAAGCAGGTCAATTAAAACTCCTGATAAGCAGATAAAGCAATGCATTCTTCCACCTTGATCTCTGGATCCAGAGAAATGTTTCAGTTGTTCAAGATGCCCACATAAAACATTCACTTTTATGTGAAATGTTAATGGTGCATGCTCTATTTATTTCTAAAAGWACGATTATAATCTGTTCCAGATCTCCTTCCAGCATCTGTATACAGACAGTRCTGCCAATATTTAGTCACTAAGAATGTTGAGATTTGGTTTTTATACACTGGAATGGCAGAATAGAATTTGAAAACCTACATCAGTAACAACAAACACATGTTTTTATTTTCTAGCCAAACAACTAGAGTAGGATTTGGAAGAGAAAAAAA